CAGAAATCAATAAGCCTAGATTTCACACCAGAGCACTAGATAGCTGTAAGACACAAATCCCTACACTGCTGTAAAGAAAATGATTTTGTTGGGCTTACAACATAATTTTCGCACACTCAGTATATTAGGACTCCATTCATCAATTGCAGAAGCCATCTCTCATAGCAATGGTGTGACTGGCAGATTTTCTTCTGCCCAGAAAACACCACTATTGGACAGTATTGAACGATGTAAATATTTATTTTTTAATTCTCTTTCTACAATGTCTGTGAATGGCAAGTATGGTATAGCTCAGGTAAGGTAATGATCATTGTTATGGCAAATATATTATGGGGAAGGTAAGACACTTAAGGTCACATGGTTAAATAAAGGCCACAGTGTTGTTTTGTTTGCTGTAGACATTATTAATAGTTCATTGTTGTTGGTAGAGTTTGAGTTTTTTTGACATGTGTTAGGGTCTTGAGACAAAGAAGAGCACTGGAAGTTCATCTTATTCTTAACTTGAATACTGTAAAAGATCACCAGCGATTCTGAAATCTGAAATCCTACCAGCTCACTGGGTGCAAATATGAAACTAATCCTGCAATGACTATTGTTTGGAAAGGTGAGGGGTAGAAACATTAATCACATTAGTGCATAATTAAACAACAAAATATAAGATGAGACAAAGTATTTTCTGATCTGATGCCCCTATCAATAGAAGAACATCATTTATCAGTGCCTTTCACAACTATTACAAATTACTGTTGCAAGAATGATCTGATTGTTGTTGCATACAGTGTTTGTTTATTTAGGCATTTATTTAGCTCATGTTCCCAGAAACTTGCAAATCAAAGGTTTTGCTTATTCAGTGAAATATCTCAACAGTTATTAGACCGACAGACATTCAGGGTTAACAGACGACAAGTCTCATTGACTTGGATGATCCCTGTGCCTTCTTCATTATTTGTGCCACCATGAGGTTGGATGGCTTGTCACAGACATTCATGTTCCCCTTATTATTAATTGTAATTATTTTAGTGGTACTTCAATCTTTCTTCTAGTGCCATTATCAGGTCAAAATGTTAAAGTGGCTCAGAAATTGGTTTATGATCTAATGACAGTCCCATCACCCTCAGCTGTATTTTGCTAATGTTTACATGTTCATACACTAGACTATCATGGTTAGTGTGCCACTGTTAGCATCTGGCCCAAAGCATGACTCTGCATAAGGTCTAAACAGTCTCACAGAGCTGCTGGCATGTTTTTGTTGGGAAAACTCTCTGACTGGTGACCTGTCCAGGGTGTACTGCACATCTTGCCCAGCGGAGCCTGGGATTGGCTCCAGCCCCCTGTGACCCTCCCTAAGATAAGTGGGATCAATAACGTATGGATGAATGACTTGCCATTGTTTGTTAAACCAGAAACAGCTTGGCCATGTATTCAATCCATCAGAAACTCTAGCAGCAGTGTCAACCAGCTGTTTTGAATACAGAGCTGCTGGATTCTAACTGAAACATCACAGTTTGTTGTCCTATCCATCACTG